TTAGATAGATATATAGATAGATAGATAGACAGACAGACGTACAGATAGATAGATAGATAGATAGATAGATAGATATGAACAGAATGCGAGAGACAGAGATTTTAACTGAATGATATTATAGATATAATGATTTTCCAAGCGTAGCTTAGATGTGGCACAAAGCCGAATGTAAGGGGTCACCCGGTGAGGATCGAACTCACTACTCAGTCGTAATTGTTCTAGCGAGACACGCTTTCTAACCATTAGAGCTCCTCGAGGTGACCTTCAAGTTATCCAGATATATGCTCTATAGTTCAAAAGTTTGGAGCCACCCCCAGAATTAGCATGGGATGAACTTGACAGAAGAGTGAATGAATCATAGAGTCATTGAAAAAGAAATGAAAGAAATGTGTAAACGCCAGAAATCAAAGAAAATAATAATAATAATAATAATAATAATAATAATAATCTTATTATAATTCTGATGGTCCCTTATTTAGTTCCTTTGTTAGCACGACCGTTATGCTCCGTCAATACCTTCATTGATTATTACGTTTTGATCGTGTAAAAAGACGAAAACGGCATATCAGAGAGACTATTTGGTTTCAGTAAAAGAAAGAAAGGAAGAAAATGAATATGAATTTGCATTACGAATTGGGGATATATTTCTGTTGATTTCAAAAATAGCTCATATTATTCAATATGAAAATTCGCGCAACACAATCTTACAAGGTCTTATTTCTACACATTAAATTAAGCTACAAAATTATGTTCACACGGACGCTGTCAATAATTACACGTATATGAGCGTGCGCATGTATACATGTTAACAGGAACGTTGGTGTAAAAGGATTTTACATCTAAACTAGCCATGAGTTTATCAGTAATATTTATTCCCTCGATATTTATATGAAAAGGAGAAATACATTGAAAAACTTTTACAATACATTAATTATTTCATATTCAACGCGAAACAAAAAGCTCGTAAGAGAAAGAGTGAACAATTCAGAAAAACCTCACAAATGAAAATATATTTTCCTACCCACAAAGTCTATCACAACTACAATTGTAATTAATTTCATCACAGATTAACATAAAATGTTTTAATGCAACTTCTAAAACAATAAAGTACTGAATTAATACAAAAACAATATAATAATAAGTTAAACTTGAAGCAGAAATTCAATCTACCAATCGTGATGAGTGCCGCAAGTAATATATAGGAGAAACCTCAAAGAACTGAAATAAAAAATTATGTGCAACGACACACTCAGTGAGTTAGTTGTTCACGTTAATGAATCGGAACATAATTTTGAATTTACAAATGATAATTTAATTAAAACATAAAGTAATTTACTAAGACAAAAGGGTAAAGAAATCATTTCACAGTGAAAAAGCATCCAGCTTCGTACATTTCACCTTTTTTCATAGATGCTCTATTATCACAATGTGTGTGTGATTTAATTTTCAAAAAGTGCTCAAAAGAAAAGGGAAATCCAATACAGAATTAAATTTAAAAAAAAGAAAATTATAATTGAAGTATCAGAATGAGATAGATAGATAGATAGATAGATAGATAGATAGATATGAACAGACTGGGATTCATTGATAGATACATACATACATATGAACAGAATGCGACAGAGATAGACAGAAAAGATAGATTTTAAGTGAATGAGATAGATAGAGAGATAGAAAGAGACAGAGAGAGAGATATGAACAGATGATAGATAGATAGATATGAACAGAATGCGATATATTTTAACTGAATGAGATAGATAGAGAGGGAGGGGGAGAGAGAGATGAACAGAATGATGGCTAGCTAGCTAGCTAGCTAGATAGATAGATAGATAGATAGATAGACAGAACTGAGATAGATAGATAGATAGATAGAGAGATAGACAGAACTGAGATAGATAGATAGATAGATAGATAGATAGATAGACAGAACTGAGATAGATAGATAGATAGATAGATAGATAGATAGAACTGAGATAGATAGATGATAGATAGACAGAACTGATAGATAGATAGATAGATAGATAGAGATGACAGAACATAGATAGAGATAGATAGAAGATAAAAACGATAGATTTTAACTGAATCAGAAAAAACGATAGATACTGAATCAGAGAGAGAGAGAGAGGGGGAGAGAGAGATGAACAGAATGATAGCTAGCTAGATAGATGGACAGATTTGAACCCACTGATATAAATTACATATTTGTTATTATACATGTTTATTTTTTTACAATCACATTGCCATTTATCAACCTATGTGGCTAAACCTTTCACTAGCTACTGCGATTCACATGAATAATATATTCGGGGACTTTCAATGAATAATATCTGTCCTTAATTAAAAACTAAACAAAATGATAATAAACTCTTTTAATATCAAGTACAACATTAATGTGGTTTATATCTTCTTTCTTCTCTCTTCCTAATTCTTGTTCCTTCATTGTTCTCGTTCCTCAATCAGGTATTTTTCCTTATATTCTCTAACACTTGGTAACCCTTTGCTTCTTAGTGGCTTTATTTCCTTGCTTAGTGTGAAATGATTAAAAATAGGTTATAAAGAACGAATCCTTACTGCGTATGTGTTTCTACCGTTAAGATATTGAACTCTGTATTCAACAAGATCAACGATAACTTGTATTTAATTGGAGTTCAGTTACTGTTTGTATTGTACGTATGTATGTATATATGTGTGTGAATAAAAGCAAATTAAAAATACAGATATGAATACTTGCGCAAATGTCAGTTTTGTGCTTTACAGTCTCCAGACGTTTAGTGTACTTCAAGGGTCCCTTCTTTCCAACATCGAAGACTCCATAATCTCTGAGTAGGTAAGATAATCAGTATGTATTCTCATACCTAAATTGAAAAATTATTTTAAACTTTTTGTTCAATAGATTGTACTTCCGGTGGGCTTATGGTCATAGCAATTTCAAATTCCGGTTCCCGTGTGATTATCGAATTTAATCAATGTCGTGCCTGCCTTGTAAGTTCCTGGATGGGAATACCAGGTTCTGTAAGCTTGGATGTGCGGGTGGTGTAATGGATACCGACGCCGAATTGTTAATCAGAGAGCCAAGTTCCAATTGCAGTCGGGTTTGTTATATTCACTAAAGCGCAAATAACCTTGGGCACATGGCACATTGGATAGATCCAGTGACAAGAACCAAAGAGTGTGAGTTCAATACCCGGTTAAGGCAGTGGAGAACTTGGAGAGGCGAATTAACAGTAGATAACTGATAATTGACATCCATTAAACATGGCACGTGGAACTAGAACAGTCTACCCCAGCGAGCGAAATAAAGGGTTCAGTTCGACATTCCAACCAACTAAAGAAGGCCGGAGCGTACAACAGCCGAAACGTTGTAATAAAAGATGCGGTCAATAGTTCGAATAATGTAAATTGTGTACATAATACCTCATCTCAGAAATATAGTCAGATATTGAAGGGTTGAAATGTTGTAATAAATATGGAGACAAAGATTAGGACAATAGTCCGAACAATGTAAATAGTGTACATAATACCTCATCTCAGAAACGAGATGAGGAGGGAAGATGGTTTGGGCTGCGCAACAAATGGACAAAAACCATGCTCATGCAGGTGGGAGATGGTATTTATCAATTCACCCACAGGAATTGAATGTGGCACAAGGCCTTTTTAATGTGGGTATGTCCGAGCCCGTAGGCCCAGCCAAAAATAAAACCCATCTAAACCCGTCCAAGCGGGCTAGTTTGTCAACCTCCCCGAACGAAACCCCACCCCTTCGGCGGAGCTTCGTCCGGGTTCCCCTCTGCAAGCAGAGAGTTGATTAGACACCCGACCCGGCAGCTCACAAAGCGCAGATACTACACTTTGATCCTAGCCACCGGGCCGAGCGGGTATTCTTTTTTTAGCAGGTGGGAGATGGCTCCATCATTACTGGCTGCGACCCCATCGTTTTCGCCACGTCTTTCGTATACCTGGGCTCAGAGGTTTACAACACCGGCGATGTGGCTTGGCTACAGGTGTTACGAGAGACCTCTGGATACCCCTGTGCCTGCCTCGCTACATCTTCCGACGCACTAAGCTACGAGTTTACAACGCCACCGTCCGCTCTAGGCTAGTATACCGCGCCGAGACGCGTTCTCTCAGCAAGACCATCGCCTCCTGCATCCATGGCTTCGAGTCCGGCGCTCTCATAACCATCGATCGGGCTCACTAGTCCTATATGTCCAATAATGAACTCCAACGGAGAACAGGCCGGCCGAACATCCTCCGCATTAATCTGGCCCTAGAAGATGTTCCGACTCTCTGCCAAGTCCTTGTGAGATGAAGGGGCTAGGTTGCTCTTGTGGGTTCAACGTCTTCGTAGGATGAAATTTAGCAACAGTAGCAAAAGCAGCAGCTTTGCTTAAAATTCTAATTCATTGGCAATGTTTGCCTTTAAATTTAAATTCCCACAAATATATAGAAAGTATTATTATAAACAGAGGGTTTACTTAAATATTTGTATCTATAAAAAGAACGTATAAACAGAAAATATACTAAAATAATTATCGAACTTTGTTCATTTCTTAATAAATGACGTCATTTGTTGAAGTTAAGCTACTCCTCAAGCAGATATGATCGTTCGAGAAAAATCATAGGAAATTTGTTGTTTAAAAACAGTAATTTGACCTTGCTAACTAGACGCTTCCTCTGTAACTAAATGGTATACCGCACAAGGCCAAATGACGGTTTGATTCCAGTCGGTGGGCACATAGCTTCTATGAAAATTTCTCGGACATTCAGGCCGGTAAATGTTATTAATACTGTTTATTATAAACAGAGGATTTACTTAAATATTTGTATCTCTAAAAATAATGTATAAACAGAAAATATCTTAAAATAATTGTTGGATTTTGTCCATTTCTGTGTGTAACGTCATTCGTTTACGTTTGGATACTCTTCGAGTAGAAATGAATGTACAAGGGAATTCGTAGAAAATTGTCGTTTAAAAACAGTAACATCGACCTCGCTAAGCAAGACGCTCCTCGGTAGTTAAATTGGTATAGCACGCCAAGCTATATGACGGTTCTGTGTAGGATACAGGTTCGATTCCAGTCGGAGGGCACATATTTTCTATGAAAATTTCTCGGACATTCAGGCCGGTAAATGATGTTTATTATAGACACGGCATTTTTTTTTTAAATATTTTTGTTTAAAAAAATAACGTATAGACAGAAAATATCTTAAAATAGGAAGTATTGCATTGTTGGACTTCTCAAAAAATAAGTTTTGTTATTATTCTTGATTCCTAAAGTATTCACTAACACAAATCTCGGAGCTGTCGAGTCCACCACAAGTTTTCATAGTTACTTGTAAAAATGTATTTCAAAATAAAATCCACTTAAAAAATTGCCGCCACACCCAGAGAGTAATTACCTCTATCCCTATAGTTTCAGCCGTGGATTTTGATGTTACTGCATATCAGATTTTCCTTGGCATGATCAAAACACCAGTTATTGTAATTTGCGGATTTCAGGATATGTTTAAACATATACAGTGAATGGTTCGGTGATATATTTAAAAATAACCATGTTTTATTTTATCAAGGCCAAGTGGGTACTGTAATCTTTTAAAAACTTGTCTTAGTTTCGATGCCAAAAACCAGCTCCATAAAAAAAGTTTATAATTTCCATTTTGATGTTATCTATACTTCTTCCATGACAGTTCCTCAGTGTCATTACGTCATCGTTCTGATATAGAACTGCAGGCAGCGATGAATAAACTGTCGTCTAAACGACGCGAAAATGAAAATAATATTGGAATCTCATTTAAACAGATATATTTACGAAAATGACACAAAAATATCTTGAAAAACTAAAGAGTAAATTTATTTAATTAAATCGCCATTGGCTTCAACGACAGCCCCCAGACGACTTCAGGATCGTCTGCAACTTTTCTTGGCGGTTTCTTTGTTTAAGTTTGGGAATGCTGCCATTATCCTCGCTTTCAGTTCATTTTTTTGGTGTTACAAGGAGTTTTGTTGGCCTCATGCTCAAGTGCACCCAACACATAATAATCAAGCGCGGTTGCAGTCTGTGGAGTTACATAGCCAGATGACTATGTTGGTGATGTTATCGCAGAAATTGTCTAACAGCCATGACTGGGTTCTCCTGCTTGTATTGGCATGGTGCCAGACACAGTGTCTTCCAGCAGCCACCATTTTAACCCAGGACATCACTACCGTCCTGGGTATGACGATAAACTACATCCGCGTCCTGGATAAGACGATAAACTACATCCGCGTCCTGGGTAAGACAATAAACTACTTTCAAAAGCAAGGCCTCTGATCAGGAGGCTTTGAGGAGCGTTGAACTACCTCTTAATTGCTGGCGTCCCCAGGTCCACCCTGACCCGGGGTGGTAGCACCTGTTAGGGTCCCAGCTATGGGCAAATAGTACTAGAAATACAAACAACTATACATTCTTTGAAAAAAAAATATATTACCAGCAATAAAAAATGTGTCGGCATTAAATAACCCATTGAGGTGTTGATATGCCGTAAAGCAAACCTAACCAAACCAAACCAGGACATCACTACCTCCTCCAATCACAAGATATAGGCCTTCGCGTTGAGTCTGAAACTCTCTGGGAAGATGAATGAGGCCATAATGTCGTCATTACTAGTGATCATTCCAAATTCCTTCGTAATCAGTGTTAGACTCATTCGACTTCTTCTGAATCCTCTGCACTGTCCTCAGATTTACACCCAAACACTCTGAAATATTCATATTGGAGCTTCGAGAACGAATTGCGACTGCTCAGTCTCATATTATCTGCTGATCTAAGATAGAACGAATACATTGAGTCAATAGCTTCGTCCACCACCAGAAAAGTCGGCTCCCTGTGCCGCGCCAGGAAATTTTTCTCGCCGGAGTCAATCCTTCAAATCTACAAGTCAACCATTCGCCTTTGCATGGAGTATTGCTGCCATATATGGTCTGGTGCCCCTTCTGTTTGTCTCATGGTTCTTGATAAAATCCAGAGACGGATATGCAATGTAATTGGCCCTGATCCGGCATCTCGTCCGCAGCCGCTCTCTCACAGACGTGCCGTTGCCTCCCTCTGTCTTTTTTACTTTCATGGTAACTGCTCCGATGAGCTGCTTTCGCTGGTTCCCAGACTTCATGAATTTAAGCGCTCAACTAGGCTGGCATCTCGCTCACACACTTTCACTGTCGAAATTGTTAAATGTA